CAGGAGTTGGAGGTTGCTGTGAGCGTGATGCCATGGCACTCTACCCAGGGGAATAGCTTGAGGCTCTGTCTCAAAAAAAAAAAAAAAAAAAAAAAGACATAAACTACCAAAACTCACTCAAGAAAGAAGTTTTATAGCTATTCCAACAAAGAAAATTCCAGGCCCAGATGGTTTCACTGATATAAGCTACCAATTTAAAGAAGAAATAATACCAATTATCTACAATCCTAGGTAGAAAATAAAAAAGTTTTTAAAAAAGTTTTAAATCGGCAACTTATTTATGAGTTCACCATTACCCTGATATTCAACCAAAGAGAAAAGACAACTATAGGACATCTCTCATGAAAATAAACACAAAAATCCTCAATTAAATTCAGGTATCATGAAACAGAATTCACTAATATAAACGGTGCCAAAAATGTATACACATTTTAAGAAAGGAAAAAACTTTACTGAATTTGTAATACTCAAGTCACATTTTACTTTTGCAATTACAAGAGGTGCTCAATGTGACTTGCGTTCATCTTTTGTTATTGGTATATTTTGAATATTACAATTTTAATACAGTTTTTCCTTCCTTAAAATATAATTACATTTTTTGATACCCTTTGTATATAAAGAGGATAATACATCACAGTCAAGTGGGATTTATCCAAGTGGGAATTCAGGGATGCTTCAACATCTAAATATCAATCACTGTAGCTCACTATCTGTATTAATAAACTAAAAAGAAAATGCATATGATCATCTCCATATGTGCAATAAACATTTGACAAAATCCAACTTCATTCATGAAAATTAAAAGAAAACCTCTCACCAAATTAGGAATAGAAGGGAACTTAAGTAGCTTGATAAAGGGCATCTATAAAAAGCCTGCGGCTAACATCACATCTAAGAGTGGAAAACTGAATGCTTCCCCCTGAGAACATGGACATGTGCCGTATCACTGCTCCTATTAAACATTATATTTGTGTACTAGGCAGAGCAATAAAGTGAGACAAATAAGTGAAAATCATGAAACTGGGAAAGGAAGAAATAAAGGCCTATCTGTTCACAGACAACATGATTGTATATATAGAAAATTCCAAAATGTTACAAAAACAAATATTCTGTAACTAATTATTGAGTTCAGTGAGTCTCGCAGGGTAAAAGGATAATATACAAAAGTCAATAGTATTTCTATATATCAGCAACGAATAACTAGAATTCATTTTCTTAAAAAACTAGTGCCATTTGCAATAGTGCTTAAATAAAAATGAAACATTTATGTGTAACTCAAACCGAAGGATTGGAGGGAAAAGGAGATAACAGAAAATTTAATAAATAATAGCAGATATTTTTCAAATGTAATGAAAATTATAAACATATAGATTCAAGAAGCTCAAGGAGCCCTAAGCATAAGAAACATAAGGAAAGTTATACCAATACACATAAGAATCAAATTTCTCATAACCAGTGACAATTAGAATAATTTTAAAAGCCAGAGAAAATAGGCACTAGGTCCAGAGAAATAAAAATAAGGGTAAGAGCAGATATCTCACCAGAAACAACAGAAGCAAGAAAACATTGGAGCAACATCTTTAAAGCACTGAAAAAAAACCACTCTGAAACCGAGAATTCTAAGACGTGTGAAAATATGTTTCAAAAATGAAGGCAAAACAAAGAGTTTTCAGGCACACAAAAGCTGAAAGAATTCATTGCAGTTGACCCACACTATAACAAATACAAAGGGAAGCCTTCATGTCAAAAGATGATACTAGATTGTAACTACATGGGTAAATATACATAATTTATAAAATTATTATTT